CGTAGTAAAGTAATCTCGAATATGGTAGCCAAAACCTTTTCAAAGGCGCGAAATAAGACTAAAATACGTAACGTGTTTTACACGAACGATTCTCGTTATTTTGGATGCATAAATCCTAAGGTAAGCGATTTACCAAGGCTCTAAGAAAATCCCGTTTCAAATCGTAGAAACGAAGTCTCATGGTTTCTAGTTATATACGTATGTGTACGTACGTACGACATATCCATGTATATGTATACACGTATAACACATACACATACATTTACATTATTTCCACTCGAAATATTCTCACGTCTTGCGTTTAAAATGCGATCGGGTTGAACTGAATATAGGAAGAATGGAATTTTCCGATATATCACGTATTTTTCTTTATAAATCCGCAAAGTTATAGAATATTTATTTTAACTCGATATGTTTCCTTTTTTCTTTTTTTTCTTTTTTTTTTTTTTTCTTTTCTTTTCTTTTCTTTTTTTCTTTTCTTCTTCTCTTCTTTTCTATTCCTCCTCTTATCTTCTTCTTCTTATTATTTTAACTTTATATTCTTTCGTTTATTTATTTATTATTTATTTTCTTTCGAAAATTTCGATGAAAAATTATTAACAATTATTTACATTAGAACAATATTCTTCTTGTTTTTTTCAATTCAGATTATTCATCAGACACATTTATTTATCTTTTATATCTCAAATATGCGATAGAGTTGTTGGAAAAAGAGAAATAATAATGTATATTCCGTAATACTTTATAATATATGCGAAGTTTGATAGAAATGATCATACACTTTCTGATCGATTCAAATACGTAACGCAGACTATTTCATTTTAGTTCAAATTCACTTTCTCTCTCTCTCTCTCTCTCTCTCTCTCTCTTTCACCACTTCTTATTCGTGCGCTTTGCATTCAAATATAACCTTCACCATGACTTGACAATCAAAACGTCAAAGGTTAAAGAATTTCCTTTAGTTTATTGAGTGGAATAGAATATGATAGGAGCGATCATTTGTTACTTCGATCAAAATGAATAAGAGAAGATTTCTCTCTCTTTCGTTCTTTTTTTATTTTTTTTTTAATTTTTTACTCTTCCAATTAAAACGGTTACTTGTACTTCTTTGCACTACTTTTCAAATTAATTTGACACATATATCACGGCCCGTTGAATTTTTAATTCCTACATCATATAAATACAAAAAGGAGTCGAAAATAAGCTTTCTCTCTCTCTCTCTCTCTCTCTCTTTCTCTCTCTCTCTTTTTCTCCATCTATCTATCTATCTATCTATGTATCTGTCTATTTATCTATCTATCTATCTATCTATCTATCTATATATATATCTTTCTCTTCTAACATACATACGTATATACATAAATACATATATAAATACATAATACATACATAGACCCACGCGCATAGAATTTTCCATGAATTACCGGAAGATCGGAAGGTGCAAGCTTATCAGTAAAGTTTATTAGCGTTGTAAATCCGTAAAATCCATCTTATGAACTCCATCCGGTTCTCTAGAGACGAGTAATCGAGTTTTCTTTTATAAGAAGCCCAGCCCAGTGTAGTGGTCGTTACTAAATCGAGGCGATTCTCGACGTCTTATCTCGTGCCGACGCCTTTTTCTCATCCTTTATTTTCCCACCTTTCTCTCTCTCTCTCTCTCTCTCTCTCTCTCTCTCTCTCTCTTTTGGTTTTCCTCGGCCGTTTGCTAAGAAAAATATTCTTTCTCTGTACCAACCGACGCGATGAAAACTTTCTTCATTCGATCCTGGCTTCCCAACAAGCACTACATCTTTGCACTGATTTTCTCTCTCTCTATCTCTCTCTCTCTCTCTCTCTCTCTCTCTTTCTCTGTCTGTCTCTCTCTTTTCTTTCCTTTTCAAAATTTTCTATATCACTTAGATAAAAAGATCATTTGACATCTGTTTCAAGTGTAACCATGCACATAATGTTGTGTCAAAATAATTTCAAGTTGTACATTTGAGTTGCACTCAAGATCTCAGGCACTTCGAACAGCACAACAAAAAAAAAAAAAAAAAAAAAAAAGAAAAAAGAACAAAAAAAAAATATTCGAAATTCTTTTAATTGAGATTAAAGTTGATCTGAGTCGTTTTAGAGGCATAATTAGGGTTAGAAAAAAAAAATTCGGTCAAATGGTCGTCAATTGATTATCTAACGAGTTATGAAAGATGAATTGAAAGGAAAAAAGAAGAAAGAATTAAAAAAAAGAAATATTGAAAAGAAAAGAAATAATATTTGAACGATCAAAGAAGAAAGATAATATGAGACAATTAGATTACTTAGAGATTTGTCGTCATTGTCATTATCGTCATCCTTCTACGTGATGGATATAAAGGAAAGATGGTAAAACAACTTAATCGAATACATAACGAGCTTAAAGTCGGTCGCTGATTGAGCATAGAATAGTATAGACTGAGTACTTCACGTTTGCACGTGTAAATGCGTCATTGTTGCGGTCGGTAGCACTGCCAGCCGTGCCAAGCTATGTCGTGGGCTGTTAGGACAATGAGGGAGAGTCGACAACGTACAATATGAAGATACGATGTATATATATATATATATATGTATATGTATGTATGTATGTATGTATGTATGCATGTATATATATATATATAGCTAGGAATACCCCCTGTTGCGAAACAAAAGCTTCCTAGGGTTGTTGCTATTGTTGTTACCGATGTCGTTGCTGTTGCTGGTGTTGTTGCTATTGCTGTTGCTATTACTGGAGGCGCTGGTGCTGCTGATGCTATTACTATTACACGTCTAAAAGCGCTTACGTCGTCTACTATCGCTTTTCGTTCTCGCTTCTTCGTTCCACTCTTATTCCACTAACACGTCATCGAAATCGAATGAATCAATGGATGAAATGCATGAATGGCCAAGACGGTAGACATTATTTTAAGACAATTTATCTTTTATCGATTAATAAAAGATGGACCGACGTGTCTTACATAAGTTATTTTAAAGATTAATTAGACTTCTTTCTTTCTTCTTTCCTTATTTTTTTTCTTTTTTTTAATATCGTGAAAGAAATTGCGAATGCTTAGACACTTTTGTTGACTCATCCTACATTTTATTATCTCGTACTGTTTCGATAATATATCATTGTGAGATCGTTCGAAAGGAAAATATTCATATTCGTTTAAAAATTTCAAGAACGAATGCCAAATGAAAGACAGTGGTCTCCGTGAAAGAGTTCGAATCGGTGGGTTATGTAAAAAGAAAAGAAGAAAGAAAGAAAAAAGAAAAGAAAAAGAACAAAGAAGAAAAAAAGAAGCAGAGACCTCTCGTTATAAAACAAACGTCCCAGTTTGGTTTTCATTTCGAGAGCTGCTTTATTCAATTCATTCAAATGAGAAACGTTACTACCGTCGAATTCTTTCTTTTTTTTTTTCTTTTTTTTTATTTTTTTTTTTGTCTCTTTCGAAAGTATTTAATGGAATTCGATGTGTCGACATAACTCATACTCTCTCAGTAATTTACATAGAATAATAACAAATTACCCATTCAATATGTTATTTAATCAAATTATATATGAGCTTGGTAAAACATTGTTTGAACATTTTATCGTTATATTTATCGCTAGATCATAAGTCAAGTCTTTTACAGACTACTACCTTTTATAAATATATTAGCTTCATACGTCAATGCAAGTCATTTTTATAAATTAAATTATTTTAATGTATTCATTTGAATGCTCGTCCGGTCACACGTATATAAATAGGAATAAATAATTCTTTCCGATGAAGACACGTAGAATTGTTAATCGAGTTGTAGGGAAAAAAGAAAAAAAAAAAAAAAAAAAAAAAAAAGAAAGAAAAAGTAGGACAAAAAATGATCTCGAGTAGGGGAAAAAAAAGCTGATGACAATGTTTTTCATTTGAAAAATCTATAAGAAAAAAATATGTTACTTGTAAGCCGTAAAGAGAAGGGGAAGAGGGGGAAGAAGAAGAAAAAACAGAAAAAAATAAATAAATGACAAAAAAGAGATAAGAAAAGAAAAGAGAATGGGAAAGGAAATAATCACAAATCGTATTTTTGAATGTTTTGGATGTGAATAAAAGGGGGAAAATATTTCGACGCCGATTCGAAAAATAAAGTAAATAAGATTTATTTAATAACTATAACGCTTTGAGCAAATAAAATTCGAAAAACGTTTTTCTACTAATTCATCGAGACGATTGGAACGGACAGGTCGAGCAAGCCGTGTGTTTTTGATGGATAAACGTATAACGAAAATGGCAGATACGGAAGGGCAAATTCATCCACCGGTACACTTTCACTCCCGGCCGAACGTTTTAAAATCCTATTGTCGGTTTGTATCCGACGAATTGTTCAGGACCCGAGTGAAAACGGATTTTGGGATGTTGCAGAGCGACTAGAAGCTCATATTTTTGTGAAATGACCGTGAGTAATTTCCTTATCGATTCGAGCAGACTTTACGCCGCAGGAATACCACATATTAAAAATTTGCTCTCTCTCTCTCTCTCTCTTTCTCTCTGTTTCTGTCTCTGCCTCTCTTTTAACAGAATTTCAGCTCACGTCCAGTCTTCTGTCAGATGTCCGATACAAAATTTCGTGTCCGTACTTATCTCCTCTCCCCCTCCCTTTCCCCTTCCCAATCCTTTTCCCTATAAAACTTATCAATTCTTTTCGTTATTTTTAATGCTATCTAATTCTCCGAGAAAGGTATATATCTTCGTCTTTTTCAATAGGCGAAACGACACGGTAACAATTCTAATTTTATTTCATTTTACGGGCACGTAAAGCACGCGAAAATATTCGCATTACTATTTCTTATATACGATTTTCTATCTCATTAATGAGAATACGAGACATTATTCGAGAATTGTTCTGTTTCGACGTTGACTAAAAAAAAAAAAGAGAAAAAAAAATCTTTTTTTCTTTATTTCTTTTTTTTTCCTTTCACCTTTTATCATCAATCACGATAAATCGATTTTTCTTTCTTTTCTCTGTTTCAG